CATTCAGATTCAGTTTTCATATACAGTTCAGATACGCTCCAAATACGGATGCCATCCTGATACTCATTCAGATTCAGTTTTCAGATACAGTTCATATACGCTCCAGACACTGATGCCATCCTAATACTCATTCAGATCCAGTTTTCAGATACAATTTAGATACGCTCCAGACACGGATGTCATCCTGATACTCATTCAGATTCAGTTTTCAGATACAGTTCAGATACGCTCCAGACACGGATTCCATCCTAACACTCATTCAAAACTAGCTCTCAGATACAGTTCATATACGCTCCAGACACGGACACCATTCTAATACTCATTCTTTCAGTTTACAAATTATAATTCAACAATCACTCTTGGATAGCATCTACAAGCCCATCTCTAAAAACTTTCTATCACCTCTCCAAATGGCATCTTTAAGCCCATTCCTTCTACCATCGCATCACCGAGTGCAAATTTTTGGGCACTCTAGTGTCCAATCATCTTCCACCTTCGAGTCACGGCTGGCAAAACATGCCAATCTAACTCTTCAGGCTTAAGAAGATTGAACAGGGGCAGCTGTTGTACCCCAAAATTTTCAATCTCACTATCAAGAATTTGCTCACAAGATCTCCTTAGGCTCAAGACTACACTAGGGTTTGATCAGCTCAAGACATCTCCTTAAACACTGATGACCAAAATTAGGGTTTGAGTTTGCACAAAGATTTTTGAACTTACAATGCCCCATATGACTTTCATGGATCATTATGGACCCCCAAGATTACTCATGTAAAGTTTCAAGTCTTGGATCACACTTTTGATCATTCAATTGAACAGTTGACCTAAAAATTAGTTGTATTGGGGAAAAAGTCAACCATGGCCAATTTACAGTCAAACTTCATAATTTTTTATCCACACCCATATTTTAGACTCATATGTATCATTTGATCGAGTTTGGACCACAATTCCTCAAGAAATTTGATCAAATCTTCAAAAGGGCAAAATGGTCAAAATTAGGGTTTTTGACTGAGAAAGGGGCAATTTCTGATTTTTGACCTAGCAAATGGTTAATTGGTTTGAAGCATGATTTCAAGAGTTCAATTTCATAATTTTAACCTAATGGAATGACCCAAAACATTGCTCAAGATCAATTGGATTGACATTGAATTTTCAGTCAACTGATCAAAAGTCAACTGAATACTGAAAAGTCAAACTTTGACTTTTTGGTCAAAATCTAATGTCAAAGATCACAATTCATCAAAACATGTGAAAATATGAAACTTATTCATCAAGAAATCAAAAAGTCAAGATTTCATTTTGAAAAGTCAAAGTTTTCTAACTTAGAAATTTTTCTAAGTGTTAAAAAGTTAACATTTTTTCATAACTTTATGCCAAATTTCCACCATGATGCAAGATGATTCAAGGAGAACTTCCAACATGAAATTTGTAGATCTCAATGAGATCTAAAACATTGTAGGGAAGAACTTTTTCTATAAATGCTTGGATTTCAAGTTAAGAATTTATGAAGATATGTCCATGAAACTAAAAATACTTAATGAAATTTTGAGTATTGTAGTCAGGATTTGACCTAACTTCATGGAAAATTTTCACCTAGTTCCAAATTGATTCTTAAAAAATGTACAACATGAAAGTTGTAGAGTATGTTCCAAGCTTTTCAAAATGTCCAAGAACTTGAAGAGATCATTTTTTATCTAGGATATTCGAAGACTTGAAGTTGGCATGATAAACTTGAATTATAAGTCATTTTTGTGATGAACTCATAATCAAATCTCATAACCTTATCATTCAATCTCACTTTTCAGGCCATGTTTCTTCTAAACCTCTCCATAATTAAGTAATTACACAGACCCTAAGTGTATTACACAAGGATTTGATGTTTTGTCCAAGTCTTGATACCATTTATGATTGAAATTGCAAAAAGTAACATATTCATTCTTGTAAAGCAAGCTTTTTCACAATGTCAACCCTTTCTTGAGCCTATCAATGACTCCATCTGCACACACTCAACCTAGCAACTCAGAAGAAGCATGTTTAAAGTGATTTAACCACTCTACATAGCTTGTACCACACATTGAGATTTTGGTTTTCCACTTTGTTTCAAAAACAAGCAAAAATGCCATAACATGTGATCTTGGTAATCTGATCATCTCAAGTCTCCAAACCTTTTCCTATATATCAAGACACTTTTATGCAAATGAGGGGACGATTTTATAAGCCCTTAAACCCTATCATACACTCAAAAACCCGAATTGGCCAAAAATCACCATTTTTAATCTTTTGAAACCTTAACTTCGAAACTCATCACTCTTGCAACTATTGTCCAAACAATTCATCCAAACACTTCATATATATCATATAGAAACTATCCATACCCTTGTTTCCTCACAGTAACATCATTTTCACCATCCACCATTGCAACTTGACTTGAGTAGACTAATCCAGACACTTTCAAGGCAAAGTAAAAGTTGCAACATACTCACTAAGGTTCCAGGAAGCTAAAGCAATCATCATATTTCTTCTGGAAGTCGTGTAGAGGCCATTGAAATTTTTGCATCAAGAGGTAAGTTTTTCCAACTTTGAAATCTTGATACAAGCATCATTTGCACTTACTTTCAAAAGATAAAATGTAGATATCATGTCTATGAAGCTAACCATATCCTTAAATTTCATTTTAATTGACTGTGGGATGAGAATTTTGAAATTGAATTTTTTGGACATTTAGGTTTTCAGTTTGGTATAGGTAGAAATTAGTGAGTTATAGTGGGAATAAATAAAAACTAATTACATATTTGAAATCCTTGTGAAATTGTAAGAAAGTTTCATTTTTACATTTTTGAATTTGGTTGAGAAATGAGGAAGTTAGAATTTTTTGAAAAAAATTGGAAATATGTTGTTACAGTAACAGTAACGATAGATGTAGGGAAGAAGAAGAAGAGAAAAATCAAATTTTGAAAACGAGTTTATTTTATATTTAATGATTGTTTTTTTATCACTGGATGTAACAGCCACCCTCGTGGCAAGCAACGCTTGTTTCATGTCACTTTCAACTTAAGGGCGCGAGTTCGAACCGTAATGAACCCCCCTTTTGTGTTATTTTGTGATTTTGTGATTTCAGGAAGCAATGTTCTCAAATAATATTACGCAAGCGCATGGTTGACAAGGAAACATTGATGGCCTAGTTGTATTATTTTGAGACATCAACCTGAATGTCTTGAATTAAAGCCTTGGCAGGACCAAAAATCTTATTTTTATCACTTGACTCATTTTACATTTTTAACAAACTTCAACAACTTATTTAACCCATCAAATTAACTCCTTTTGAACTAATTTTTTTCATACTACTAGTTTATTAGGTCTATTTTATGAATATATAAAAATATTACCAAAAATATTTTTATTTTCATTATTCGTGATTTATTCAAAGTAGCATCTTTTAGGTTTTTTTTTATTAAAAACTAAAAAAAAAAAACATTTTTCTTAACAAATTTCTTTTCTTGATTAAATTAATTTTTAACTTAGTTTTTGCTTTGAATTTCTTTTCTAATTAAATAAAATTAGAATTTAGGGATTTTAATTAATTAAATTCTTTCATTTTATTAGTTTAATTAAATCAAGCCTTTTCATAAACAAAAAAAAACAATTTTCTTTTCCTTTCACATTGTTTTTATATTCTTGCACATTTTATCTTGCAATATTCAATATGGTTGTAATAGTATAATTATAACTTTATTGATTCCATCCCTCATTTGTAAATTTGTATACCCCTCCCCAAATGTTGTAATAGCGTAGTAACTTTAAATTTCGCAATTTATCGCTTTTACATAATGTGCTAGTAATTAGGGTTTGTATGGAAAAAATAAAATTAATCAAATAGAAAACCCTAATCCAAGACAAAAACAAGCATGAAAACAACACACTTGCACACAAGCACCCATAGGGTAAAATCCACTTGGTTTCCTTACAAAATGCCCATATTACGCATGTAAGGTATCTTAGCAAAAACAAGCAAATACAAGATCATAGTCCCTCGATGACGCTATCTAAAGTTGCCTTACAAATGATATTAGTCCCTCAAAAAAGAATGCTAAGATACCTTACAATATTGATAATCATGGTTATACGATGACCCACACCAGTCCCGTTTACATCCAAAGATAGGGTTGCTTACCAAATCAATGGTAAGACAACAATGTCAAAGGAAAAGGAAATGAACAAGAAAGACATTTGAGTAGGTAGATTGCTCCTAATTACTTGCTCCATTTCAAAACAAACATCCTTGATATTTTCAAAACAATCACATACACCTTCAAACATCTTACAAAACTTGAAAACATTTTCAAAAGATCAAACATCTTTGTATACATTCTTACGAACAAGAATTATTACAAAGATTGCCTAAACAATGGCCTCTTTACAAAATACTTTCAAAAACCACACAAAGCACAATTTCAAACAAAAGCAAGTGATCTAGCAAGTAACTAAGAGCCCATGGAAAACCATGGATAAAAGGGTGCTAATACCTTCCCTTTTTATAATCTACCTCTCGAAACCCAAGAAACAATATGAAAGGTCTTTCTTGTGCTTTTTCACCTTTTCTTTTGGATAAAAGAAAAGTCAGTGGAGAATCTTGCTAACCGCAACATTTGCGATAAAACGCAAACCCTCAAGTAAGTTCTCCCACCGTATCACAAATTCCATTTAAGATTCAAGCAATTCATCATCCATTATTCGAGATGTCATACTTTATGGTTTATTCTATATTGCAAAATCCAAGAAAATGTTTCGAATTTCAAAATACAAATTAAAGGAAATTTTGTTCATTAATATCCTAAGTCATTATAAGTGTAAATGCTCAAAAAGAGAGAAAGAATTGCAAAGATATCATCCAAGATTACATTCGAGACACAATTTCAAATGTTACAAGAAATTCCAAGCGATACAAAAAATATATCCACACATGAGCTTGAAAATCTGTATATAAAGTTTGATTCAAAGTAATGCCATTGCCTTGTTTTAATTTTACCACAATTCTACCCAAACGAAATAGAAAATTAGAATACATATCTCTACAACAGAAAAAGCAAACTTCAAAAGATAAAAGCTCTCACAAATCGGATCATTATCCTCTTTATCATCCTCTTCATCAACAATGTTTTCTAGATTCCTCCATAAATCATTACTACAAGGTCCACAACAACTCAACAGTAACAGAACACGATACAAAGTAGTTTTCTTTCATTAGCGAAATTCGATCTGTGAGTTATTCTTCACTATGGAGATCCATCGAATGCGTCTATCCTTGCTTTTGATCGCGTTCAACGTCTATTGGCAGTAGGAATACTTGATGGTTTGGGACTTGTGAAACAGACAAATTGCTTATGCTTTACAATGGGAATCCATAATAACTTTTCTCTATTATATACGGAACCGGTTATGTGTTAGTTGGAACTGGGCATGGGTTACTGTACATGCTGAAATTAGATTTGGAAGACATAAAAATTAATAGTTTACCTTATTATGTTCCCACAAGTGTTATATCTAAAGCTGTTGGGATATCACTAGATCATGTTGTAGTTGTTAGAGTCCTCCATCAACCCTATTCTAATGGAAAGAGATTGTTAGTGGTGTACGCTAATGGTATGATAATTCTATGAGATGGTTTTGAAAATCAAATTATTCTCATCAAAGACCATAAGAATATCAAACTGAAGATAAAGCAAGTGTCTAGATGAGCCTAAAGATGAACATTCCGATGATAAACTAGAGCTTGAAGAAGAATATAAGGAAATAAACTATATTTCTTGGGTGCCTAATAATGGATTAGTTGTCGCCGTTGGTTATGTAGATGGTGATATGATGTTGTAAGATCTGTCTACTGCTGACTCTTAACAGATCAAGAAGATAAGAAAATTGTCAAATGATGTTGTCAAGCTCTAATTATCATTAGCAGATAGAAGGATCTATATTCTTCTTCTTCACTGGTGCGATAATAAATCTTTAAGCAACTATAGTGGTGAACTAACCCTGTTAAGATCAATTTCTAGCGGTTTCACGAATCTTCAATTCTTGTGACTTTATTCAGGAGACGGTTGGCCTGCAGAAAAATAAGAAGGAGTTAAATAAGGAAATTAAGCTCAGAAAACGAAATAAAAATCAGAAACTATAAGGTAGAAAGCATCGAGTTATAAGAGGATGAAATCATGAAAGCAACAGGAGTTCTACAAAATTTGTAACAGAAAACCAATAAACTAACTGATTGGTCTAAATCTATTCAACTAACATTCAACTCTACTAACAGAAATCTCACTTGCAGTTATTAACAGAATATAACAGAAAATAACTGAACCTCTAACTGCCTAGAAGAGAATCATAGCAGAATTTGATTGTTGAGTAATAGAGGATAACTGATTGGTAAGAGAATGGGGAGAGAAAGATGACATACAAGATTCACCTTGCTACTATCTCAGGCTCTCTTCCACTCTTGAACGAGCACTCGACATCTTTATCTTGAACCTTTGACCACCAATCCCAAATCCACTATGCATGTTCTTTCAATCTTGAACCTTCCATTCTCTATTTCATCAAAAACCTTCATTCTCTCTCTGATATTCAAGCCTCACCGTCTCTTCCATCTAGAATCCTTACAATTTCTTCTTCTCTGAAAATTCTTCTGCACTTATTTAACCTTCACCATAACTCTCTTGAATCTTCTAGAAGCTTCTACAATCTCCATCAATGCAACCTCTCTATAACAATGCTTCAACGATCATCTTTACATACCTCCGCAACATCGGCATCAACCTTCTTTCTGTATCTACAACAATAACGCACACTATAGAATCAAGAAGAAATGTAGAAGAATAAGTAAGGTTCAGAATAGCATTACCTGAGAAAATCACGGGTTTCTTTGTAGCAGCTAACAATTGAAGCATCCTCGAAGCGACTTCGATCGGTAAACTACAATCCCTTTCATTATTTCACATAATCATAATATTTCTAGCTTCGTATCTTCATTCTCTTCATGAAAACTCGAGTTTATATTCCTGGTTCTTTTCTCGAGTGTGCGTGTTTATGAAGCACTTTCTGTTTGAGTCGAAATTGGAGATGGTGATGTATCAGAATCATAAAGTTTGTGGCGTGTTTATGGAAGTTATATGTGCGACGAAGATGGAGGTGAGAAGCTAACAATGGTGGAAACATTGGGGAAGTGATCTGCCGGCAATTGAGAACGACGATAAGATGAAGAGGGAGGTTTGTGCGCCGCACTTGAGAAGGACGAAGAGAAAAAAAATGTGTCGCATCATGAAGAAGTAGAGGAAAGCTCAGCGCTGCTGGAGAAGACGAAGGAGAAAATCGCAGAAGTCTAACCGTCAATTTCTCTTTACCCTAATCCTCTTTCCATTTTCTATTCCTTTTATTTATTTGTTATTTTTTTATTCTATTAAATTCAAGGGATATTTGATGATAATAGAATAAAAAAATGGTTGAGACAATAACCTAAATAAAAAATAGTGAATTAAACTTGGAACAATTGGACCTTGCTGGTAGATATGGACCGAAACATTACACTCTAAGCCCAAGAAATTTTTTTTCTAACACTAGTGATTGTAAACAAAAACCTGTTGGGCTCATTGCAGAATTGAACTTAGGAATGTTGATCTACACCTTTGTTCCATCTTAACACCCCCTGACCCCTTTCTAATTCCTTGTTCTTTTAAATTTTGTTTTTTTAGTTTAGTTTTAAATTTTTTTTTACATAACAAAAATAATAAACAAAATACATATAATAAAAAATAATAAAAAATATATATTTTAGGATTGCCTCTTTTTTTTTAGTGTAATAAACTACAAAAATCAACAAAGTTTTGTTAGATTTCTCATTTGATTTTTAGGAAATCAATTCCTAATTTTTTTCAATTACTTGAAACATTTGATTCAACTTTGCATGTTGAGTTGAGTCTTATGCAGGTTCATTGTTTGATATGCGGATTTATTTGGATTCCGATTGTGATTTATTTTCACATCGATGAAATTTCGACACCTATTCCGAATATCCGATCTCTGACTGTTTGTTTGTTGATGTCAGCTCATGAAAAGTATTCTGGGTTTCTTTCCTTTGGTTGCGCTTTTTGTGGACTTTATTGTTCGTTTGATATTATACCGCTTCCAATTTATTTTTTTGCGCATTTATCAATTTCTAGATATCATGAGAAGTAGGAAATAAAGAGCGTACGCTCGAAGTCGCTGTTTAAAGACCTGTAGCAGGCATTCCTCACTTCATTTATCATATGTGTTGTGCTTGTGTTTGTTTCCTTTCTTTTTTATCGATGAGTCACTCAATTTAGAAATTGAGATCACGACTTCGCTCTCAGTGCATACTTCCTATAGGATTTTATCTCTTTCCTTTATTTCTCGTTGATCATTGAGTCACTCAATTTAGAAATTGAGATCACGACTTCGCACTCATTGTATGTTCTCTATAGGATATTTTGTTAGATTTTCTTTGGCATGCTAACCTTGATAGGATCACTCATTGTATGATAACATTAGGTAGGTTAGATTCAGGTTAGTCTCCCTTTAGACTTTTCTTTCCCCTTTTGCATTTGCATTAAAACAAAAATGTCTTTTTCTTGCAAACTTCAAGAAACTTAAAGATTATTGATGAGAGTCATACCTTTGTTGAGTATGGGAAATAATAAGCAAGTTTCTTCTCGATCTTATTGTTCCTCCATTCTAAGCCTAGGTTTGGTTCAAGTCTCAAAGACTTACTTCATGAATAAGTAGATAAATGGCTAATATCTCTCTCTCTCTTGAGATTAAATAGCCGTTATCTGCAACAAAAACACCAACCAACACAAACTCTTTTTCCTTTGGGCTTTCCTGTCAAAATTCTTTCTAAAAGGACATGTTAAGTCACTTATGTGTTGGCGCGTAAGTCTTCAAAGGTCGAGTTGCGGCAGAAGGCGAGATTAATATTGTTCATTAAAAAATACAAACAAACAAAATATGTGAGTCGAACTACGACGCTCTGATTCCTTAAAAGGGATACATAGGCATCTGGTCATAGGGCTCAGCCGAGTGAAAAATTCGTAAATATTTCCTTCTTCTCCCCGTGTTTTCTTTGCATACATTCCCTCTTAGTTTATAACTATTAAGCATTAGATTTAACATAAGCTTTGATTAGAATAACGAGAGTGGATCCCGTAGAGTACTATGGACGTGTAGGGTGCTAATACCTTCCCCACGCATAATCGAATCCCTTACCCAATCTCTCGGTTGCAAGACCTTGATTTCCCCCTTTAGGTTTTTCTATGATGATCTTCCTTTCCCTTTTATATGGGATAAATAAATACTCGGTGGCGACTTCATTGATTTTACCGCTACATGAAAATGGCGACTTCACTGGGGACAATGTCGACCAATTGTTGGTCCATCCCGTGAGTCAATCGTAGCTCCCATTTTTTTCTTAGGGTGTTTATCATTATTGCTTTTATGGTTTATTCATTTGTATATATTTGAGCATATGTATGCATTGAATTTTATTGCTTTCCATATATTGTTATTTCTGTTGTGTTGTACTCTGTTTCTTTGTTAGATGGATGTTACTATTGAGGTAAAAGGCCCAGTACCCAGGCCATAGTGCACTAGGACACTAGGAATAGAGTGGGGGCATGATGGCTATAGGACGTGGTCCAATTAGTGCATTCATATCATGTACCATGCTCGAATGAGGTTCAAATGGATTACTATGGACACCTATGTCTGTGGGTAAGGCGATAGTATTTTCAGGCGGACGTGTGATTTTGAGTTACCTTTGACCTACCCTGGCCCAATATTTACCCTTGAGCAGGGAGGGAATAATATTTACAGGTAAAAAGATGGAGACTATGTTCTGTTGGTGACTTTGGCTCTTTGGTATTCTGAATTGGTCCAGACCTTTGATCTTATTACATATGACTGTGGTTCTGTTATTAGTTCAGCAGCTATCCAGTATTGCAGAAGCTTTGATCCCGCATATTTGCATACATAGCATGTTAATGTAATCATCAGCATACATGTTCTTCATTTCCAAACATCATTTCTTTGATTCTAGTTGTTAATCTAAGAAAAAAATATAAATAAACATTGAAAAAAATATAATAATAAATACATGAAAAAAATATAATAATATCATAGCTTAGTAACAGGAATCAAAGCGTAGAAGATTTTGGAAATGGGAACATGGCATTTGTATTGCATGGCATGCATAATTTTGCACTTAACTATGTACTTCATGAGTTGCCCAGAAGTCTTACCCAAGGTCCTCTGGTCTTCAGAAACAAGTTGTCTCATCGGTATAACACTCGTGCTAAGAGAATATGGAAATCATTAAGAAAGAGATCTTTGAACTACGCAAAGAGGCAGCTACTTTGAAGGCTAATATGGAATATCTAACTGCTTTGGTTGAAACTTTGGTTGCCACCCAATTCCATACTTCTAGGAAGGAGGAAGAGATGGAAAAAGTCATCACAGAAACTCTAAAATCATTCTTTCATGAGAAGGTGATAGTCAATACACCCAATGATTTCCCAGAAAAAAGCGAACGTGGGAGTGCTTCTAGAAGAGGATGTTTGAAAGGAATGTTTATCTGAAGACAGTGGCACAACTGGTGGTGTGAAAAAGTTTGATAATAACTTTTTCAAGAAGAGAACTAGAGGAAGAAACAATCATCGTCAGAATCAACATGTTTCTTATGTCATCGATGTGTTCAATTTACCTCTTGTCGCTCCAGTTTATCAACATAATCGACAAGTTCCTGATCAGAAGAAAGCTCAGTTTGATCCAATTCCAATGACTTATACATAGTTTTTTCCTATCCTAATGCAGGGGAATTTGGTTCAGACTCGACCTCAACCGAAGATTCCTGAGAAGATACCTTAGTACTACAAAGATGATTTGACTTGTGCTTTTCATCAGGGAGCCTTGGGACATAGTATCAAACAATGTTATCCATTGAAGCTGAAGTCCAGAAATTAGTCAGAAGTGGTATCTTATCACTTAAGGATACTTGTCTTGAGGTTCAAGCCAAGTCTTTGCCAAAGAATAAACGTGATTGAAGAATGCCCTGGATTTTAAGGAAGATTAGTATTCTCATGTATACTAGCAATTTTACTGATTTCTCATTTGTAATTTTTCTTGTTAATCATTATACAATTTGCATATAAGAACTTGTTTACATTTGAATGATTATCTTAATACAACAAATATGTTTGTCTTGAAGAAATCCATTCATTCCACTCATATTTATTTTTAATTTTAAATCTCTTTTTATGATACCAACTTGTTATCCATTCTTTTTCCTAAGCTTAGATTGGAGGGATGATGATGAATTTAAAATGAAAAATTTCTGGTTGTATGCTTTTGAATAAAACTCTGTTGACGATATACATGCATTGTTTCAAATCCTTAAACACCGGAGATATAAGGGAGTGAAACCCTCGTTAACCCCTTTGAGCCTTGAAGTAGGAGTTTATTTTCTATTTAGTAAAAAAACCCTCATTTTAACCTGGGGCAGGGTAGTGTTCAGTTAATTTGATCGAGCGTTCGAAACTTATCAGAAATGTGCATCTAAGGATACAACAATGGTTATCCTTCAAAAGGTTGAGGAAAGTAAAAACTACAATGGCTAACCTTCACTTATCAAGAGTGTGCATCAAATGATGATATCCAAATGAGTATCTCTCGCACGTCAAGAAGTCATTAGATGACGATACAATAATGGTTATCCCTCATATTCCAAGAAATAGGGTAGTCACAATTCTTCCAACAAGTCAAAAATGACTCAACGTCACGTGACATGTTCAAAAAGAAAGAAAAGGTAATATAAAAATGAATGAAAAAAAATTAAATGAATAACAAGTGATTAAAGAAAGAGACAAGAAGCCCCACTAAGTCGAAACTTGAAAAAACAATGCCGCTTAGGCAAAAGTCAGTGCATCGCGCTGGGCTTTATAGTCAAATTCAAAAAGAATTTGTCCAGGAAAAAGGATTACAAAATGGATATCCTTAGCAAAAGAAATATGTTGTATGGTTAAACACCGAAAGTAAAAATAAGTGATTGTCGTATCCAAAGAAAACCTCGGTTGGTTCCTCAACCGTCTCAAAATTTCTTTTGAGAGAAGAATGTTCGGGTCGAGTTAACTGAACTTAGGACTGGAGAACATCATGAAGGGGGTGGGCACCAAATAATTTTGAGCCTTAAAATCCGTTTTTTCTAAAAACCGTGAACATGGCCATGTTACAACCCTCAAAATTCCTAATTGAAACATGGTTTATTTCGAAAGCGTATTTCAATGAGATAGCATTTTATATTGATATCATGAGATAGCGTTTATTACAACCCTCATAA